ATATGACGACAGAATCTCGGGGAGTATTCATATTTTGCGGGATACAAATAATGAAGTACGACCCAGGCATTGCACAGTCATGGTGACAGTAATATCACTTCTGTCAACAACATAGTTTAATATGATAGTAAGCAAAGGACAATGCTCTGTTTATAATAGAAGGACCATTGTTTCCGTCGAAAATAATCATACCCCAACATTTGATATCATTTCCGCGGGATATGCATCGGGTCGAAAATACAAGAGATAGCATCCTATTTAGATTTTAGCTTGTGGATCAGTTGCAATGCGTTGTACATAAACAAAATAGCTATCGGTAAACAATATAGCTAATATAATATTCACGATAAAGTGATGTCATTCTCTTGGTCATTTTAGATAGAGAGGGAGACCTGATTGCATTCTCGAATGACAATGAATTGTCGCACGCTCTTGGTCAACTCAGTGAAGAAATCCTCAGAGTCTACGTTACACGTAAGTACAGTTATCATACACTGGATAAATACCCGGATGTATGACATATGTTTGACCTTAAGAGACGACTTTAAAATGGGAAAAATCAACGACGATTCAAAAAGCATTGTGAATATGTAATAAATGTAGTAATCATTTAAAATTAGTTATTAATATTAATAATTTCAGTGACTTGTGAAAAGAGCCACTGTGACGATTCAAAATATTGTGAACAATTGTTCAACCCTGAAGTAATCTGCGGTGGCTGTGAAGTCCGAGACTGTGAACCTCGATTTAAGTGCGTCGTGTGCCCTGACTATTATCTGTGTAAAGGGTGTGAAGAAAAGGGACTTCACCCAGAACACGAGATGATTCAGAATCGTGAACTACAGATTGGTCGTAGCCATAAGGGGGTATGTTGTATTTTATTATGAACTTAGTCATGATGTTTTTAATTATTGTGTTAACACAATTGGTAGCACACAGTGGCGAATTTAAAGGAGCGGGCGAAACCCGTCGTTACACATACATATGTATCCCATATTACAATGCGGCAACTGTCCCTGGTCCCTGTAAGTGTCAATTTTGTTTATATCATATGATTTGGCAATTAATGTAAAAACTAAAATAAACAGTAGATTCATATACATCTTATACGAATACGACCTTTGACCTAACAGGGATTCTCCTTCCGTCCTGGTCTCTGGCAATTCGTCTTTGGTGAACACCGAGTGGACGATGAACATCAGATGTGGAGACAAGGAGATCAAGAACAATATGAAAGGAGTCCTGAAGATGATACACTAGCCGAAGAGGGCGCTTCTGGAAATCTAATTGAGGGGAGCAACCCACAGAAAGGTTGTCTGAATCACGCTGGTGAGGCTGATATGCCATGCCACAGTGGTAAGTGGGATTGATTAAGTCCTTAGCAACCATCACATCACATATGTCACATATATATTAGTTCCAATATATTAAAACATATTAAACTTGTGTCTCTATTTGTAAACAATTGAGAACATTTCAACTGGTGCATTGTCCTAGTAATGCTGTCACACAAATGTCATCGTATCCGACAATATACTAGTAATGACAAATATATATGTACCTTAAATTACATATCACATATCCCAACATAAAAACTTTGTTTATTTTTCCAGGAATTGGTGAAAAAGCTCGCAAACGTCGTGGTAAAGAACAATCCGGTAAATGTCTTGGTCATCCACGGGGAAGAGGTCCACGTGGTTGTAGAGGGCGTGGCGGTCAAGATGGAAGAAACGAACGTCGCAAAGTTCAAGCCACTGAATATGCTCCAAATGAAGACGCCTCAAACGATAACAAGGACAGCTCACAGGACGACACAATGAATGGTGACAATACTGACGAAAACGCTACTGTACACCAATGGTGAATATTCTATGTTTTTGTTTTACTTGCATACTAATTTCTCTAATGTTTTGATTCCTGATTTCGGCATTGCTGCTATACATTTAAAAAAAGTTATTTCCATCCGTTGACATTTTATTCATCGAAGTGTAATATTTCTCTTTCCGGTTTATCAGAAAACTGAAATATCTATGGACCAAGGCCGATCGAATGATGTAAAATGATATTAGCTAAGCAGTGGACACTATTAAGATGGGTCATCACTGTAGAATGATATAGTGCTGCTATGGAACATAATACGTGACTTAAAGATAACTGTATACATATGTGTGTCAGATGCTTTCTTGCTGTAGGTGTCGTGGTCTTAAAAATAACACATGGATTCTAAAATGATCGATCCCACAATTCATCAATGTCACGTGATCAGCTAAAGTCATTATGTGTATTATTAGATGAAACCTTATTCAACGTCTGTGAATAAACAAAAAAACGAACCAAGTCCAATCTCAACATTACGTAATGCATTGGTTGGTTTCTAATTTGTTGTGATAATACGTTCTCATTGACTACTCTGTACATGAATGCGATGTATTTTAGAGATAAGTTTGTTTCATTTCTAGCAATAAGGCAAATATTACAAATAAAGTTTAGATGGAGTTGAGATATCCCGTCTCTTCTGTTCAGATCTGTTAACTTTAACCCTGGCAAAATACGTACGCACGATTTCGCGGGAGTATGTTTATCGTGGCCGTGGCCGTGTCGAACCCGAGCGATAACGCTTAAACGTGAAATATGTGGGTGGCAGATCTGGTCAACCTATCATGCAATCGCACACAGCATAGAGACATTGATATTTAAAGTAGAAACAGTTCAACCTCAAACAATAACACTGTGACAGCACACTCTCTCTAAAGATAATGCATATGTACATACAATACAAGTTGTCGAATGAAAGCTAAACGGACAGCCATCTACTCGTATATGCCGCTTCTAGTACTTGAATAACACAAATGTGCGCATATTTCTATAGCATTACATGTATGTGTTATACTGTTGCGTTTGTGATCGGAAAGAAGAACTGGACATTGCCAAGGTTACAGGTTTTCATGGATACTACACTTCTTTTCAAGCTGATCTTCGTACAGTATATCATTGTGGATTTCTGAAAGTAGCGCGTACTTTGAATGGTTGCAATAATGATAAAGTACGCACTCAAAAAGGCCCGATGATCAGGGCTACTCTATATATATTTGAACCTTGATATAATGAACCCAGTTTAATACGTCCAGCAACTAATACCTCCCCGCGTTTATAATGACTTCCCCGACAACAGTTCTTAGTGTGTCCCTTTGAGTACCACTCACTTGTGCCTCGACACAAATAAGTACTATCACTCTACTTGCGTCAAGTGTTGTCAACAATCTTAAGTAGATGAGAATCTGTGTAAATATCACCGAGTAGTCAATAAAGACCCGCACTTAACCGAATCATGGCAGTAATAACACACATACGCATGGTGTAGTGTAAGGTTTAGCGGACTCAGACGGACACATTGCCTTGCATACAGTTTCTTGTTTGTTTATTTGTTTGGTGTTTTTCAATGAAAACAAAATATCAGAAAAGTGTGTAAGGGGCGAATGCCGGGTTACGTTTATTTCGCGGTAACCCGGCTTTCGCCATTTATGCACTCCCAGAAGAAGGTATGGGATCATTATATCGATGCTGTTTTGTAAAACACTCATTTAATTATCATATTTTCCCGTCGCGTACACGAGCGGGAGGGATGTTCAGTTATTCACGTTGATGGCAATGATGTTTCAAGAAAACAACATCTCTAAATACCCCAACCCAACCAGTCAATCATCATTATTGTCGCTGAATACTTAAAATATCTAAGTGTCTAAACAAGTCAGAATAGTGGTTTATTCTTATTCAAATTGTTTGATGGAACCACCCCAATGCCTTCTTCTTTTAATTTGGTTCATACATGAGAATATTGTCCTACAAACGGTCTGTTTAAAACTATTGAACATTGAATATATTACAAAATGCAATACAAAATCAGAATACCAATTAGCAGGCTAATTAGAAGAGAGTCAATACGTAGTGATTACTGGGCTTGTTAAAGATACAAGTGAATTGGAGAGCGCGTCATTAGTCGATCAAGTCCTAGCCCGATATCAGCACTACACATCATTCCGCCTTGTTTACAATCTAGAAAAATGTTGAAAATGTTAAAAAAATAAATCAAAGAGGAGACTACAACTCAAATTCAAACAAACTAAGAATATGTACGTTGTTCGATTCCAAAACATCGTCAAAACTTAGAAATAGAAAAAGTGAAATAATTGATGGCATTAGTTGAAAAATTTGACAATTAAATATATAATATCTACCAATTGATAACAACGGCAATAACAAGCGAGTTTCCGTTTTTTTCAATAAATGTTTCATGCATTAGGTCGAATTTATGGGAGCTTTTTTAGACTTCAATTTTAGATTTTTAGCGACGTTTGCTTCCTTGTATGTTTCTTTTGTGAAGAAAAGTCATACACTGGTACCAGCTTGAAAACTTTTGCGGATGGATCATTTGCTGGTTCCGGAATACTGCATTGCATCTGGTAAAAGTAGTGGACGTCACCGAAATCATCCACGTTGGGGTGCAGCTGACGTGATTTTCACAGTACCGTTGGCCATCATTTCAATGCCTACGGACTCCAGCACGTATTGAGATGATGCCTGTGGACTTTGCAGAAATCTATTGACAGTGGCAGAAGACTTGTCACCTAGATAAACAGTGAAAAATGAAAGATGAGTTATTGTTTTTTCTAAAACTGCGTAACATAAACTGTCGAAGAAATGATTTTTCTATATTTTTTTTTTGCTGCGCCAACTGATAATTATAGCTTAGGGTATATTGCAGCACACCCCCTCCTCACACACATATCTGACAGATCGTACTCGGAGTGCACGCGTAAATGGCAGTCTGTCCACTACATCCCCTGTCCAAATTATAGTACCATGGGCCTCGATATTGGGCCCTTCCTACTTCAGCAGATGATATTAATCAAATTCGAAGGTCTTAACATAATGACTTTTTTTTAAATCAGTGAATGGAGGGATATAAATTGATATGTTTTAAATGCAGATAAAACCAAATCAATGATTTTCGACACACACCAGCTCTTAGATCGTAAGCTGAACATGTTTATTTTATTATCTAGACCAGTGATTTCAACATAGTTGTTAACAAATTTAAATACCTGGGAGTTATGTTGGAGGATCATGGATGGCATGTGGTGGTACGATTAAAATCATCAACGGAAGATACAGTCAGCAGTTTCATCAACATTTCATAAATTTTTGCTCAAAAACTAACAACTCTGTTTACAAGAGCAGCATTTACTTATTTGATATTTTTTTCCGTTTGGATAAGGGCAAGAACACTAATTCTATAGATGCATTTCTTTGTAGAACGTAGTGCTCAAATCAACCAGGAAATGCGTATGTTTAAAACTGTAGTGTGAAAAATATTTTTAATATCTAGTATTGCGAATCTAGTAGTACAACTATTTGCGAGACTCCATTAAAAATAATAAAACTTCTTTTGAAGAAACATTACTTGGAATATTCTGATTAAATATGGTACAAATAATTATTACACATACATGCACTACGAAATATCCTCTGTAATTTTGGTGATATAATTATATAAAGTACTGTACTATGGGAAGTTATGTATTTACATGCGATGTTCCTATTCACCTACCTCGCTTTATGTGATAGTGCGACATTCGTCCACCCGCAGTTAACTGCATACTGGTACCTACATCAGCACAGTCTGAGTATCGAGCACTGTATGTAGCCAGATACCAACGCTGACTCGATCTCGGAGTAGGACAACATGGCAGTGGGCGTGTACACGGTAGAGTAGAGTAGTTATTTCAAATATTGTTCAGTAGTTAGTTAAGGTAGAGATGCATGTTCGTGGGCACTTGGGAGTTAAATTTTTGTTTTTGCTTTTTATTATCCAAACAGTCTTGGCTATAGACTGTTAAAATTTTGTAGAATTGTGAATAGTGGCACCTATTCAAAAAAAACGATTTTAAAATATAGATAACAGGTGCAAACATTCTCTCTTTTGAATGCTTAGCAAGATTTAGCAAGGCTGTACATAAACAATAAAAAAGAAACATAGTGAAAAAAAGAAATGACGGGATTTTCATATTATGCACTATATTTAACTTTTAACAAAACGATATACATTTAAATTTGGACCTGTTACAGCCATTTTAATTATGAGCATTAGCAAACTTCTTACTGAGTGAATTGTTATGCAAATTAGCAATTATCTCAGCTTCTTTTTAGCGCACATCCCAGAACTTTAAACAAAAATAGCTCCTAGACGCTTTTCACATTTTCAATAAATGATTGACAATGTGTTTATCTTCAAAACGCCGTCGGGGCGTTGTTTGTGGTTGAACACTGTTACAACAATCGTACAGACAACTGGCCTGGGTGTTAATTTATGCATAAACTTGAAATTTTGACAGGAAACAGAAGCATGGTTTAGAAGCTAATTTTTGTTAAATCACTTTTGACCAAAAAGCACATTTTTGTGCATATTTCAAACTACAGTGTTCATAAAAAAATACTATCAAAATTTTAAAATTCTTACAATAAGCTTTCCGAAAATATATAGTTTTGTGGACAAGGGAGGTCATCTTAGTTTCCTAATTAACGAACCTGTCAGGTAAACTGCATCTCTACCTTAAGTGGGGCTGATAATAGATAATTAATTTTAATATTAATTACACTTTTTGTTTTCGCTACTATTTACTGAGATATACGTTTTTAGGTGACGTACTATTTTTTTTGGGGGGGGGGGTTCTTTAAATAAGGCTTTCAACCAATGCGCTTATTATTTCAATTTACAGTACGTATCCGTAATACAATGCGCAAATTTGTAAACAAAAAAACTTCATCACCAATTTTAGTTGAAGCTCAAATTTCCATTATTTCCTCTGTCCCATGCAGTTCCAGGTCACATGACACAACTAACAACTATGTCTGACGTTAAAAGAGGCTACCCTTTCCGTTTCTTTGTAAATTACGAGAGGTGTACCTGGAAAACATTTTCTGGCATCGGTGGTATTTATGTGAGTAACACAAATCTCTCAACATTTAAACACGCAGGGCCGTTCCTA